GTGGCCGGCTCGGTGGCCCCCCCCGCCCCAGCATCAGGACCACCCGGAGCTGCGCAGAGGGCCGAGCCCCGGCCCTGAGGGTCGGTCAGGGAGCTCTCTGCAGTCAGGTGTTCACACCCGGGTGAAGGGAGGGGTTGAGGGGCCAACTGGAGGTCAGGTGGCAGCGAGTGGCTAGAGGAACTAGGGCCCCCAGACCCCCATAAGGGGCTACCTGCCACCACCCTGCGCCGAACGCAGCCCAAAGGCTCCGAGGGGTCTTCCCGGTCTTCCTTACTCTGCCCGGTCCCCCTGTGCAGCCCGGTCCGCCCGGCCTCCTCCTCCCCACCTGCCCGCACTGAAGCTGGGCTCTCCACGGAAGAGAAGGCCAAGCCGTCTCCACCTCCCAGCTGCAGACAACTCACAGATTTCCCTCTGAGCCTGTATCACCGAGCAGCAGAACAAAACCAGTTCCCACCAGGAAAGGGGCCTGGCTGAGCAGGCGGGGAGCCCTCAGTCGGGTGGTCGCTCTCATTCCAAGGGCCCTCCTGCTTCTTCCTCTAAACTACGGAGCCACCATTTGTCAAATGTTGGGGTTCTGTGACTTTAGCAAGTGATGGACCAGAGCAAAGGAGTGAAGCTCTTTTATGCAGCTTTTACTGTTCTCCCAAATGACAGCCAGGGCAGGGCTGCCCAGAGATCTGACCTGGAGTCTTCGTATACCAGTGGGAGCCACTGCCTTGGACTTCCAGGGACTCGATGCTAACAGGGTTCACACAGGCCTGCTGGCAGGCGCCCCAGGGCAGGGAGAGCTCTGGGGAGGAACCCGGGCAGATCCGGCAGAGGGGCTTCAGCAAACAGCCCCGCCTACTCTCGAGATTTAGCCCAGAAACTTCGTGAGAGTGCCCAGCCCTATGACCACCTGTTGAGTGTTGGGAATCTGCTGGTAGGTCTGCCCCGTGCAGCCCTAAAGCAGATAAAATGCAGGGCCCAGAAATCGCCAGCACAACAGCACACAACCCCCGCTGCCCAGGTCACTCAATCTCTGAACTGACACCTCCCTGAGCACTGTTAGCCCCTCGCAGCTCAGAATGTGCCCTTACTTTGTGGTTCTTCTGCATTTTACTCCGCACAGGGGTTAAGGGTCAGAGCACCTGGGGTTAAGGCCTACCTTATCAACTCCTAACTAGGTGATATCAGGTCTACTTAACCTTTCTGCGCCTCAGTTCCCTCATCCAGAAAACAGGGATTATGCTGTCTACTCCACTGGATGTAAGATCGTTCAGTCATTCAACAAACATACTGAGCACCTACTAGGCACTTGTAGAGCTAGGCGCCACCATTCCCGGTGCTCAGGGTACACCAGGAACTGGTCTAAGTGTTTTTAATCCTTTAACTCATTTAATTCTCACAACAACCCTATAACAACATGCAGTGAAATAACCACAGGAGTAATTACTAAACATGTTCAATTTCTCTGCATCTTCATACCAATCCCAACAGATGATCTCTAATAGAAATCCAAAAGTAGCACCAATTGAGGTCGAGTAATGGAGAGAATGCCCCGGTGATATAAGTAATAAAGACACACAGTAGTTTTCTCTTTGCAGAATTATAATTTTCAGGGAAAAAACATTGCCTGATAACATATATGAAGAAAGCATACAACCCCCAGTCAATGAAAATAATACATACCACTTCATATTTGCTGAACTACCATTAAATAGCTTCCATTTAAATTACTGTATTTGTGATGTGCCACTGCAATCTGCTTTTAGGAATTGGGACGTATTCCCCCCACCTGCTGGGAGTCCCGGCTTTGGCAGATAGCATTCAGCTGTGGGCCTTCTTTTAGAATTGCCTCCACTGAAAAAGGCACCCTGGCCAAGGGCACGCCTCCCTCCTAGGGTAACCAGAACCCAAAGACAGATCATCACAGAGGTACCAATGCCCAGCCCCCCACCTCAACGAGGAAAGACTGAAGGCCATCACATCTTCAGAGTCCCCACCGTGGTGTGAGCTGAAACCTTTATGGAGATGACTTCACAGCCCATCTTGTACCCCTCATCCAGCCCAATCCAGCCCCCTCCCCTTCCATGAGCATCAATCCTAAGAGTACTCCCAAATAAACTTTTTGAATCTCCGTCTCAGTCGGCTTCCCCAAGAACTAGGGTATTAGAAATTTTCCAAGAATTGGACATTGAACCAATACTTTGAGACGGCTACTTGGCAATATATACCAAGAATCTTGAAATATTCATTTTCTCAAGAAGCAATAGAAAAGAGAAGGCATGGCCTCTAAAGCACTCATTCAAATCCCAGCTCTGCCAGAAGGAAGCTTTGAGATCTGAGTCTTGGTCTCTTCATCAATAAAAATGGGACTAACAGTACTTGTATTTTAGAGTTGCTATTATAATTTGTGAGTTGTAACAATGTTCTTGTTCCAAGTGGAGTGCATATGTAGAAGCACCTGGTACACAATGATTGCTTAATTAGCAATTAAGTTGGGATCATCAGCTGACTTTAGGATTAAATGTTACTGGTGGGGGAGGGTATAGCTCAAATGGTAGAGCTCATGCTTAGCATGCACGAGGTCTTGGGTTCAACCCCCAGTGTCTCCTCTAAAAATAAGTAAACCTAATTACCTCTTCCCTCCACCAAAAAAAAAAGATTAAATGTTACTTTCTTGAGTACTAAGAACTGGTCCTTTGAATCTGTTTTTCTCACTCTGCCTTGTACATATAGGTTCTCAATATCATTTAACTTTTTTTTGCTGAATTTTTAAAAACTGTGGTAAACAAAAGTAACATAAAATTGACCATTAAAGAAAAAAGTTAAATGTTACTTTCTCTTCCAATTTACCAATAATCCAAGTCAAACAAGGGAAGAAACCCTCTCCACACTAAGCATCCGGGTAAAGCATACGTCCGTGAAGGCAGAGTCCGTATCTGGCCAGTTCAGTGATTCTCAACCCTTAGTGAACTTAGCATAATACCCTGCACGGCTTCTTAAAACACAGCCTGCTGGGCCCCATGGAGCCAGAACACGTCCAGAGTTTCTGACTCAGTAGTTCTGGGGTGAGGCCCAAGAATGTGCATGGCTAACAGGTAACCAAGTGAGGCTGATTCTGGTCAAGGACCACACTTTGAAATTCCCTCTGGTATAAGTTTATCACGGAATCTACCTGTACTAATTCAGGCCAGTTCCTAATACAGAGAAGATACTTAAATATTTCTTAATTGACTAAGATGTATAAATAAGTCTACAATACTGTTATTTACAAAAGTAAAACAAAATGAAATTAATGTCTAAAAAGGGGGCATGATTAAACAAACTATGTACTGCACTAAATGTGACCATTAAGAAACACTAGTAAAATCATCAACAAAATGAAAAGGCAGCCTACCGGATGGGCGAAGGTATTTGCAAATCCTGCATCTGATAAGGGATTAATATCCAAAATACATTAAAAAATTCATACAACTCAGCAGCAAAGAAACAAACAATCTGATTTAAAACTGGGCAGAGTCTCTGAATAGACATTTTTCCAAAGTCAGACAGACGGCCAATGGGTGCATGAAAAGACGCCCCATATCAATAATCCCCAGGTAAACGTAAATCAAAAGCACAGTGAGCTATCACCTCACACCTGGCAGCAACGCTGTTCTCAAGAAAACAGAGATAACAGGTGACGGCAAGGCTAAGGAGACAAGAGAAACCCCGGGCACTGTTGGTGGGAATGTCAACTGGTGCAGCCACTAAGGAAAACAGCACAGGGGTTCCTCAGAAAATTAAAATAGAAGTACCACAGGGCCCAGAATTACACTTCTGAGTACTTATCCAAGGAAACAAAAACACTGCTCAAAAAGGTATCCACACCCCCACGTTTATTGCAGCATTATTCACAGTAGCCAAGACATGGAAGCAACCTAAGTGCCCACTGATGGATGAAGAGATGAACAAGATGTAGTGTGTGTGTGCATGTGTGTGTGTAGTGTGTGTATATATAGTGTGTGTATACACACACACACATAATGGAATATCATTCAGCCAAAAAGGAAGGAAATCTTGCCACTTGAGACAACATGGATGGACTCTGAGAGCATTATGCTGAATGAAATAAGGCAGACAGAGAAGGACAAATACCTATGATCTCACTTCCATGTGGAATGTAAAAAAAAAAAGGAAGGAAGGAAGGAAAGAAAGAACATATAGATACAGAGAACAGATGAGGTGGGTGGTGCCAGAGGTGGAGGATGCAGGGAGGCTAAAACGAGTGAAAGGGATGAAAAGACAACAAGCCTCCAGTTATGAAATAACTAAGTCCTGGGGGTGCAGCATACAGTGTGGTGACTGCAGTCAGTAACAGCGTATTGTATATTTGAAAATGACTAAGACAGCAGATCTTAAAATCCTCATCATGAGAAAAAATGTGTAACTGTGTGGTGAGGGATGTTAAGTCGACTTACTGTGGTGATCAGTTTGCAAAATATGTAAATACTGAATCATTACGCATATCCAAAACTAATATATGTAAACTGTATCTCAATAAAGAAGAAATACATGTAAAATAATGTTATAGCAACACAGATAAATACATAACAAATCATAAGTGAAAAAAGGTAACACAAAATTGTATGTATAGCAATTTAAACTACATTAAATACATATACACATGGATTAACGACAAGGGAAATTTCCAAAAAAATCACTCCATTCTTGAGCTTAGGTTTATGGGAATTCAGTATTTTTGGTTATTGTTCAAAGTTTATTCAGAAGATATTTTAAGGTTGACCTAATACAAAATAGCAATACTAAATAATTAGATAAGCATATAATCAAATAAATGCATATATACCGCAGGATATTGTCACCAAAAGAACACTGTCTATCAGAGGCATATATAACTTGGTCGTTAGTTTCCGCAAAACTGGTGTTATAAAGCACTGCTGAGGAGCCGACCCAGAAACAACCAGAAAGTAAATACACACACACACACACACACACACGGCATCTTAAATTACCTGCCACCGGAGGGACAACGCCAGAGAAACGCACTGTTGCATGTTCTCCGTTAACTTCAACTCTCCGACCAATGACATCTGATGTCAAAGTGTCAGTCATTGTCATACAGCCAGAATCCAAAGTGTGAGGAGACCTAGGAAGGAAATATAACATTGACAAGAACTTAGTAAAATTCTCTAAAAAAAAAAATGTATTTTAACTTCAAGTAGATATTCATGAGGTCTGCCCAACGCTTCTGCCCAACTTAGTCTTCGTATTTGGTGCAGAGAAGAATCTAAAGGTTTATGCACTGCACACTCATACTTTGATTCTACTTCACCGTCTAACTACATTTTGATAATCTAATGCAGTTTTTAAAATCTTGCTTAACTCCAGTAAGCTCACATCACACGGCTGTGTATTCTATCATTTACTGAAAGGGGTGGGAAGGAGAGGAAAATAGGAGATGATGGGGATAAAGGAGCCAGAGAACAGGGAAAGGAAACAGGTGACATGGGCACTGTTCTCCCCCCAGGAAGGAGAAACACACAGACCCACAGACACAGGAAGGAGCACAGATAATGAAAAAGCTCAGACCCCTAAAAATTAAGAGAAGCTCTTAAAAGGAGCCTAGGAGAAATGTACCATCTCTCTAGGAATGAAAACGAGACAGAATTCCTGCTGCAACAAGTGGGATCCTTCAACAAATGAAAAAAAAGAGACGGGGAAACACAAGGAGATTAAGAGAAATTTAAGAGAAGTGGGGTGGGTATATAGCTCAGTGGTAGAGCACATGTGCTTAGCATGCACGAGGACCTGGGTTCAATCCCCAGTCCCTCCATGAAAAACTAAATAGATAAACCTAATTACCTCCCCCCTAAAAATAATTATAAAATTTTTTGAAATCAAAGAAATTTAAGAGAGATAGCAATCAACTTCAATGTACAGACTTTATTTGGAACCTAAAAATTTTTTTAAACTGTAAATACTTTTTAAAATAAATTATGAGGAAGTTGAACATTTGAACGCTGACTAGATAGCTGGTGATATTTAAAGAATAACCTTTCAAAAAGGCTAACAAATAATCTGTTTTGGAAAAAAGGGAAGAATAATTGTTAACTTTTTAGCTGTGACAATGGTATAGGGCTTATGACTCTTGAAAAGCCTTTATCTTTTAGAAATACACATTATTTATTTACAAAGTTTTTAAAGCTGTATTTTAGATGTATCCCACCACCGGGAGTGTAAACAACACACCAAAAGAAAGTAAAAGGCAGAGTAGCCAGTGAGGGAAACACTGCTGGAAAGCAGGTGGAAACAATGAGAGCCTAGGCCAAGGCGCTGGCCTCCACCCATCCATCCAACACATGGTAAGTGCTGACGACATGCGAGCTACTGTGCTGGACGGGGCATCACAGCTGACCGCGCGCGTGTGACTCCTGTCTCAGAAGCTTACAGTCCAGCGGCCATCAGAGCTGAGAGAAGGGTGTGCATTTCAGGGAAAGTTAAGAGCTGGAACAGGGTCCGGTGATTAAATGGATAGAAATGGTAAAATCGAGGACTGGGAAGACTCAATGTTTTGTCTAGGGTAGATGGTGGTGCCAGACACCAAAGCAGGTAATACAACAGGAGGCTCAAGTTTGGGAGGAAAGAGTTCGTTGGAGGTGTCCATAGAACGTCATGATGGATGGGGTCTCCAGTTCAGAAGACATGTTTTCACTAGAAATGTGTATTTGGGAGTTATCAGCACAATTTATAACTGATGCCAATGACAGTGGATGAAATGGAAAGTGGATTAGATGGAAAGAAGGAGGATCAGTGACAGAACCACGGGGAAATAAAGTACTTAAACGGGAGAGGGAAGAAATCCCTAAAGGGTCAGAGGAGGGAAAGCCAGAAAGGGTAAGAGAAAACTAGATTCCTGGTGTCGGCATCGACTGCAGTAGGAATAATGGAGCAACCGTATCGGACCGTGTGAGCCTAGAGCTTAAAAACTTTGTGTTCCTTCTGCTGACACAAATACGGTTTTCAACTAGACCCTCATCTTCGTCTAAATGAAACTTAGTTGCTAAAAAGTTAGCAATGTTGCCGTGCAAGGATTCTGAAAAGACCACAAGTTACAGGACTACTGAAAAAATACTTTGCTATTTTAATAATATTATCATATAATAGGTGCACAATATAAGAAAAACATACACCGCTAATCGCACTTTTTTGGGATTCAAAACACATTTTTCATTACTCATAAACCTTAACTGGATAGCTGAGGTCTCTAACATTATTACTTCTCTGCCTTTATGTTATGCTTTTTAAAGAAACAGTAGACATTTCCTCTATTACTGTAGTTGTCTGTGTCACATCTGACCTGCTCTCCCCATAAAACAGAATAATCTGAGCGCTGCCATCTCTTATCAAATTTCAGTATTGGTTTTTCTCAGTCATTTTCTCTACTTTCTCATAAAAACTTTTTTCCAAAAAAATTTTCCCCAATTCTTATGAGAAGACCCCTATTTCAAAATGGGGCTGAATTTTGACGGTTTAAATATGGGAGGATAGGGCAGTCAGGAAGGGGCCAAAATCTAGATCTAAACTTGCCTGGTAGGGTTGAAAAGCAAAAGGGAAAGCATCCCAGAACCTCAGCTTGGTGGGAAAAGTCAAGACAGTTCTGGTACCTGGAGGACAGAATGAACAAGAAGGGAGGACAGGTGTGGGGAAGCCATGTTCCTGTGGAGGAAGCTCAGACACACATGGTCAGCAGCTGAGACATCTGGTCTACAGGTAGGGCCCTACTCACAAGCCTGTGTTCAGATGCGAAGTTCTAGTCCCCAAGGAGAGAACTAGTAAGATCGCTGCCGAACTCTGCTCCCACGAGACGTTAGAGCAGGAGGCCGAGTCTTGCTTCCATGAACTGGAGTTCAGGGGGGTTTCCAAACCCAGAAACCCACAACCAGCCCCACAGTCAGGCTGCAGCTCTGGCTGGGGCTCAGCCTAAGGGCCCCGCCTCACAGAGGCTAAGAGTGACAACGGCCTGGTGAGGAGGACGGGGCAGTGGTCAACTGGTGAGAAACCAAGTGGCGTAACAGCAAAGTGTGGAGAGAAGACATCAGGGAGCCATCCTCACTTTCCTTGAACGCACACAAGCAGTTCATAGATTACCAAATTCCTTCACGTGCTTGGTCCCCTTCCATCTCTAGTAACAATTCCCACGCCCACCTGTAAGTCGTGCCCACAGGACCTGAGACCATTAGCTACACGGGGTCTAAGGTCAGTAATTATTGGCTGCGTGTCATGTCACTACTTCTGATGACCCTGTCTAGTCTCTTGATTCTTCTAATAATTGTTTTTTGATACTGTGATCTTCTGGGAGGTTCTGGAGACCGAGGCCTTGGTTCCCTTTCCCTCTGGCTGGTCACCCAGTAACTCCCCGTCATTAGACCCACTTGACGTCTGTGATGGGTGCACCCTAGACCTCCATGGTCTGTTGCTAACACCCCCGCCTCGATCACCCCAACCCAAGCCCTCCCCCGTGTCAGTGTCCAGTCAGACTGTCTGAAGCCAGCGCGCCCAGTTGGTTAGACTTTCCCTAGTTGCCTGCACTGGGTCTTGGTTAGGTTCTTCTGGGGGCCAGCCAAGCCTTTTACTTTAAGTATACAGGCTCACTAACGAACGAAGATGGCCCACTTAATTTTCAGGTGACCCCACCAGTTAGATAACAGTTCTTTAAAGAGATGAAACATGCCACCCGATCACTTCTACCCACTGACTTTAGCGCTGCCCTCTTCAGCTACAGAGAATCAAAGTAGCCCCCTTCCCAGCTGACACTGACACATTTGAAGGCCACCATTATGTTACTGTTTCTCCTCTCTCCTCTTCCTGTCCCCATCTCCTAAAACTCTTTTCCTTGATAAACCATCCTCATGTGAATTCCAAGTTCTCCTTCACAATTCATTTACCGATTCTTTTCTTAAAATACAACACCTAAAACTGAAAACCACATTCCAAATGTGACTTGACCTGTGTGTGGGTTCAATGGTCTGAAAATCACTCATCTAATAAGGTAGCCTAATATTACATTCACTTTCCCCCTTCTCATGGGAACGATTGTTGCTTGCTATTAAGACCACAATGAAATAAACTCTATAGCCATTTTTGAGTTACCATCACTTTCTGACCATAAAACTGAAATGTTAAAATTTCACTATAATTACATTACCCTAAAAAACAGTTTACAATAGTTTTAAATGCCCTCTCAATTTTCATCAACATGTAAATAGAATTTTTAATATAATACAAAGACACATAATTTCTATTCTACTTATTTTAACATTCTGTAAACATTTTTCTATAGAGCCACAAGGTCATCATATTAATCACTTTAATCTTGACATGTAGATACCACAATTTACTTAATCACTTCTCTACTGTTATATGTTTTCATTGTTTACTATCCTAAAGAAAACAGCTAAAAACATCTTTCATTTTTAAATTATTGGTATCCTTTGAAGTATTTCCTTGGGACAAATTCTTGAGACAATTATTCAAAATAAATATGTTTAAGATTCTGGAAAGCCATGGCCAAATTGTCTATCAAAAAAAAAAGTTAATTATTGGCACTGGCACCAAGAGAAAACCTACTTGTTTACGTATTTCTACAAAGTCTTAGGAGTTCTCATCCAGAGCTTTCCATCAGGTCTTCTCTATCCTGTACTTGAATAACTAATTTTTGAGGTGGAAGTTAATAAATGATAATATTATTGTAAATGTAGGACTTTACATTTATCTATATTAAAGAGTCAACAATCCAACATATTAACCATCTCTCCCAGCATTGTCCTGGGCAATTTTTATAAAAACAAAGACAAAAAAAGAATATAAGGGGGGAAGGTATAGCTCAAGTGATAGAGTGCATGATTAGCATGCACGAGGTCCTGGGTTCAATCCCCAGTACCTCCTCTAAGGGTAAATAAACCTAATTACCTCTCCCATCAAAAAAAACAAAAACAAAACAAAACAAAAAAAACACCAAAAAAAAAAAATGTAAGACACTGACCAAAGACAGAAACCCACGGGTAAAACTTTATAGTTACAAGTCTTTCTATTATCCAACTCACATTCAAGAGTGTCATGAACTTTATCAATCAAATGTCTCACTGA